TGTGTATCCTCTTGATTTTGCCCGTACCCGGCTAGCAGCCGATGTGGGCAAAGCTGGAGCTGAAAGGGAATTCAGAGGCCTCGGTGACTGCCTGGTTAAGATCTACAAATCTGATGGGATTAAGGGCCTGTACCAAGGCTTTAATGTGTCTGTGCAGGGCATTATCATCTACCGAGCTGCCTACTTCGGTATCTATGACACCGCAAAGGGTAAGTCCGCTCCGTGCTTTGAAGCTGTGTACCTTTCATCTGAGAGATCATTAATGCCGTCCGAATCTTACTGAGCCAGAGATTTTCTGTAATTGCTATAGGAAGCTACTGTCATCCCGTGCAAACTTCATGTACGGATGAGATGTTGCGGGGGCGGGGGTGTAGGAGACAACAGACCGCTAAAACTCTGCTTTCTAGTAAAAGTGTCTCTTTGCTGTTCTCAGGAATGCTTCCAGATCCCAAGAATACTCACATCTTCATCAGCTGGATGATCGCACAATCCGTCACAGCGGTTGCCGGGCTGACTTCCTACCCGTTTGACACTGTTCGCCGCCGAATGATGATGCAGTCAGGGCGCAAAGGAAGTAAGTTTCCCCTTGAGCTAAAGATAAAAAGACTGTCGGGCCCGGGACAAGCTGGGGCCACAGGCCAGCGATGCCTGGCTTTAAAGCTGCAGTCTGTTCTGGTGGCGGGCTGGGGTTGATGGTGCCTGCCTTTGAGCGGGCCCTCTGGATGCCTATGAATGAGGGTGCTTAAACGGTATTAGAGGTTAAGACCAATGAGTAGGCTCCATAGCCCTGTTCTCTGCTCGGGCGTTAATATTTCAGTGCCGCCCACGTGAATGTGTAAATGTCGGGTTTCCCGGAACTGCCATCTGCTCTTAGAGGCGAGGCTCCGGTTTTGTCTAGTAAGTCTGGGGAGGGCTTTCATCAGCCTTTAGTCCCCAACTCTGTGTCTTTACTCTTTGCAGCCGATATCATGTACACGGGCACAATAGACTGCTGGAGGAAGATTGCTCGGGATGAAGGAGGCAAGGCGTTTTTCAAGGGGGCGTGGTCCAATGTTCTCCGAGGCATGGGTGGTGCTTTTGTGCTGGTCTTGTATGATGAAATCAAGAAGTTCACATAAGTTATTTCCCAGGCTTTCCCCCACTGTGAACAGGCATGTCGTATTATATAACATATCTTGAGCATTCTTGACAGACTGTTGGCTATTTATCAATGGCAACTATTCCACTGGTTGAAAACGGGAAGCAATAATATTCATCTGACCAGTTTTCTCTTAAAGCCATTTCCATGATGACGGGACTCAATTATATTTTTTATTTCAGTCACTCCTGATAAATTTGAAGAAATAAAAAATACCTGAAATATGTTTTTGTCTGTGACTTAATTTGCATGCTTTAGTGAGTGCTACATTTGAGTAGATGCTCCATGTTGAGTAAATGCTACAGTATTTCCTGAGATGGAAAGCTTTCTTTTCAAACCCAGTCTCTAGCCCTTCACTTCTCAAAGAATACCTTGGTTGTGTGACCCATCCATATTCCCAACACAGTAGCAGAATTCAGGCCCTGTGTATCCAAAACTACGGGTCCATTGCCTGTGGATGATCATAACTGAATGAGCTTTCTCCGAAGAAAAGGACCACGTACCCACCTTTCCTCATCCTGTGGTTATTAATCAAGAAATATAAACTGAATTGTCCACTTTAAAATGGCCGTTGTGTGAATTTCATCTAAACAAGAAAAACCTTGGGGCGGTTGGGTGGCTCAGTCGGTTAAGCAGCTGCCTTTGGCTCAGGTCGTGATCCCGGGGTCCTGGGATCGAACCCCATGTCCGGCTCCCTGCTCAGTGGGGAGCCTGCTTCTCCCTCTGTCTGCCGCTCCGCTTACTTGTGCTCTCTATCTGTCGAATAAATAAAATCTTCAAAAAAAATAAACAGGATAAACCTTAAAATATAAGGTAATGGCAAGTTTTCATCCAGTTGCCTTCCCTCATCCACCTTGACCTGGCCCAAGCCATTTTATTTTAATCCCATTCAAAGCGGAGGATTAAAGCTGGCTCAGTTAACACAGGGCTGAGGTCGCAGCGCCGGTCAAGATTACAGAGAACGAGACAACTGCCCCCACCTCAAAACTTTCACAAAAATGGTAAATGTGGCATCTGCTGCATTCTGTCAGACATGCTAATAATAAGCCCAGTCAATGGAGGACATGTATGTTTCTTTTGGATAAGCCCTTACTTGGAATCTACATGAGAAATGGTTTAGGGGCACCCAGGTGGCTCAGTCGTTAAGCGTCTGCCTTCGGCAGGGTCATGATCCCAGGGTCCTGGGATCGAGCCCTGCATCGGCTCCCTGCTCAAGGGGAGGTCTGCTTCTCCCTCTGCCCCTCGCCCTGCACCCCTGCTCATGCTCATGCTCTCTCACATGCGCGCTCTCTCGCTCTCAAATCTCTTTTTTAAAAAAAAAGGTTTCGTTTCTGTAGCTCCTGGCTAGACCTCGGAAATCAGTGGATTTTGCCTGTAACCCAAGATTTGTATGAAGAGTAAAGCCCCACGGCTGTCAAACGGCAACATTGAAAGTAGAAAGTGATGGGGGAGCCATGTGCACAGGCGAACCCCATTCCTGAGCAAGAATGCGCACCCGGCACGGTCAAGTGCGGCTCCCGGCCGGGGTCTTCGGGCTGGGGAGTAATGCCCAGGGGAGGCGCTTGGTGCATGCCCCCTGGCCAAAAATCAAGATCGAAGTATGGCTTAGTTCAGAACACTTCCCAATGTATACATATATCGAAACTTCAAGTCGTACACCTGAAATATATACCACTTTTATATGTTAAAGATATCTCAAAGTTCTTTTGGGGTTTTTGTTTTGTTTTTTTAAAGAGTTTATTAGAGCACACGAGCAGGGGGAGAGGCAGAGGGAGAGGGAGAAGCAGGCTGCCCGCTGAGCAGGGAGCCCGATGCGGGGCTCGATCTCAGGACACCGGGATCATGACCTGAGCCGAAGGCAGTTGCCCAGCCAACTGAGCCACCCAGGCGCCCCGATATCTCAAAGTTTTTAGAAACCTGAAAACTCGTGGTATCAGAGAAGCCTGGATTGTGCTGTTCAGTTGTGCTATTAGGCAAGTTACTCGATTTCTCTAAGCCTTGGTTTTCTTCATCTGTAAAATGAGGATAATAGTGCCTCAGAAGGTTGTTGCGGGGATTAAATAATTTATGCAAAGCATCCACCATAGAACATACGTAATAACCACTCTAAGTGCTAACTATGATCATTGTTAGGAGGCAGTGAAGTTTTCGGGGCTCCAGAATCAGAAATACTTGGATTTGGGGGGCACCAACCTGGCTCACTTCATAGAGCATGGGACTCTTGATCTCAGAGCTGTGAGTTCAAGCCTCACCTTGGGTGCAGAGCTTACATACACACATACATACATACATTAAATTAAAAAAAGAGAGAAATACTTCAATTTCGCTCCTGGCTCTTGTGTACTTAGCTGTATGACCTTGGGCAAGTCACTTCATCTCCCAAGTCTCAGTTCCCTCATTCATAAAATGGGGATATAATAGAGCTAACCATATTTCCTAGGGGTGTTGTGAGTGAGGATTAAGTAACATAAAGCATTAGAACAAGCATGGCATCTGGCATCTAGTAAGTAAGCACTCCAATGTGAATTTTTCATAATTAGGCTCCATTTTGTTCAATGAAGATTTGCCTAAGCAGAGCACTACTTAAGAATGAATTCAGCTGTCGGATACATGCAAAGCTACTCAACATCACTCATCATCAGGGAAATGCAAATTAAAAAACCACAATGAGGTATCACCTCACACCTGTTAGAATGGCTATTATCAAAAAGACAAGAGAAAACAAGTGTTGGCGAGGATGTGGAGAAAAGAGAAGCCTCGTGTAGGTTGGTGGGAACGTAAATCAGTGCAGCCACTACGGAAGTTTCTCAAAAACTTAAAAATAGAAATACCATGTGATCCAGTAATTCTGCTGCTGGCTATTTACCCAAAGAACGTGAAAACACCGATTCAAAAACATATATGCACTCCTGTTCATTGCAGCATTATTTACAATGGTCAAGATATGGAAGTAACCTAAGTGCCAATGGATAGATGAATGGATAAAGATGTAATATATACATACAATGGAATATTACTCAGCCATGAAAAAGAATGAGATCTTGCTATTTGTGACAACATGGGTGGACCCGGAGGGTACTATATTATATTGGAGAAGTCAGAGAAAGCCAAATACCATATGATTTCATTTATATGTAGAATGTAAAAAACAAAACAACAGGCCAACGAACACACACACACACACACATACACAGTCTCAAATACAGAGAACGGTGGTCGCCAGAGGGGAGTAGGGTCGGGGGGATGGGCAAAATTAGGCGGAAAGGATTAAGAGATACTGACTTCCAGTTTTAAAATAAGTCACAGTGATGAAATCCATAGGGAATACCGTCAATAATATCGTAGTAACATTGTATGGCGGCAGACGGAGACTACACTTACCTTGTAATGTACAGCATTGTCGAATCACTCTGTTGTTCCCCTGAAACTAATATAACATTGTATGCCGACTACACTTCAATTAAAAAAAAAAAAAAGAATGAATTCAAGCCTACTTTTCTTTTTCTACAACAGATTAGACACATTATATTATGTAGAATTTATATAAAATAAATTTCAGCTTAGGTCTTTTTCAGCTATAGATTTGATCCTGGAAGAGGGTAAGGGGCTCTCCGCTTAGGGCCGCAAACCGCAATACAAGGGAACCCCCACCCTCTTTATGGTTATTATGATAGATGTGGACTCACTGATCCGGTAGCTATTAAAATAAACCTGGGACCAGGCATTAATGATCAGAAAGCAAGAAATGGTGTAGCCTACAACTGGGTGGCTGACATGGATGAGGGGTTTTTGTTGTTGTTCTTTCTATTCTTGTTGTTCAATGATTTTTGAAATTTAATTTAAAAACAAAGTGGTTTTAATCTCTCCAAGCTGTGCAGGATAGTGCTATAGAATTCATTATGTCCATTATGTTCATGTGAACATTGATGGTACACAATCTTAGCAACACCCTAATTTATGCCGTTGTTTTGTTACTATTCAATGCATAACAGAATCCGTGAAGCCTGATTCCAGGTGAGAGAGCCAGAATACAGGTCAGCTCTCGCACAGCCGCGCTTCTCATTCCAGGGGCCTCTTCACTCGGTCACTGGAGGCAGCGTGCGGCGGGTGCTCCGGACCGCTGGAGAAAGAAACCAGGGGTCTCCCCACAGGGGCAGTTTTCGTGGATGGTAAGTCATTTAAGCCATTATTTTGGTATTAAAAGAGATGCAGATATGTTAGAGAGTCTCTTGCACAATCTGAATGCATTTTAAAAAACATAAGCTGCGAACGAAGAGAGTTCTTGCGTACCGAGGACCATTGATTGCTGGCACTGTCCCCAGACCCCTGGGGAAAACCTATTCAGCCTCCTCTGCCACTGTGGATACTTTGGTAGAAATGTTTTAAAAGTACTGCGGTACCAGGTAACAGATTTTCAAGTGTCAGGGTTACTGGGATGAATTTCATTTCTCCTGTGAAGTTTGCAAATATAGTATCTCTAATTTGTTGGGGTTGTTGTTGTTGTTTTCGATTTTTAACACCATTAATATCTGTACATGGTAATCAAAATCAAAGAGTAAAGGAGAGACACAAGACGAAAGGCAAATCTCTTGTCTTCCCTCTCCCATCCCCTGTGCCCCTCCTCAAAAGTAACCATTATGAACAGTTTCTGGTAAATCTCTCCCCTCCAAAATTGACGCATATGGTAATAGCAGCTGATTTGTTTTTATCGGAATCATATTCTGACTGCTTGGCTTCAAAATGGAATGATTCTTTCAGACTGGTGTCAGACTGTGGGGTCTACCAGGACTCACAGATGCTGTCGGAGACAGGGGCGTTGTGGAAGGGGTAGCTTCTGGACTCGGAGCAAGGATTTATTTCTAAGCGCGACCCTTTATTAAAAGCCCAAACCAGTACTCTCCTTTCGCGTTTTAGCTTTGGTTGCTGAGCGACCGGGGGGCAAGCCACATCTCGCATCAGAGCTTTGGTTTCTCCTGTAAAGTCCTCTCCAGTTTTAGATGTCCTCAGGCTCCATCGTTTTTATATAAAGCCGAATCGGTGAAAAGACTAGGATTAGGTGATTTAATCCTTCCAGAGAACATTTTTAAATATCGAACACAGTTGTAAGTGAATAGTCTCTGACTCAGAGCAGTCATTTGCAGACTGTGTGGGTGGGTTGGCGTTGGCAAGTGAAATTACAAATGTAAAGATTTACATTAATTTCGGGACCAAGAAGCTGAGCAACAAAATTACAGCTTGGAGTTTGGGTCAAAGGTGACCTGATTTACCTCCAAATAATTAACATCTGTCTTTTCAAAGCCCGATCTTATTATGTATAATGTGCACTTCGGTATGCAGATGGAGATTTATTTGAACAACAAATACTGGATGTGGCAATTTCTGGACACAAAAAAAATGCCTTGTGTTCCACTTAAAATGTTTGGAGGAGCTTTCCCATCATTTCAGCCATTATTTGCTTTATGTGCAGGTGAACAAGTTCAGATGCATGGTGCTCTTCTTAGCCAAAGGCTTAACAGAGCCTTTGGTATCCTGGCAACAAATATAAACAATGTTCAAGTGACAGATTGAATGGTTGTTTTTACTGGACCCTCTTCAGATACAAAACTGAGTTAAATTAAAAGAGTCTATGAATCCATGCCTTTTTCATGACTGTCAATGAAGGGGACACGGGAAGAGAGGTCTGCTTTTGATGGTGAACATTCATCCTGGGTTTTCATTTCCTTGGGCAACTTTTGCAAGGCAGGCAGGAAATGTAGCACTCTTGAGATTTAAGAGAACGTGCCAAATGTGATCACATGACCCATTTCACCGACTCTAACGTTTTCACTCCCCAATTGGAGATGGTTGTGGCTGGAAAGGCAGAACCAGAGAGCGAAGTCTGTACTTCGCGGTGGACGGATGGATTCCCCAGGGCCTCGTGTCGGGGAGTGAAAAGGAAAAGTCTTCCATCAAAAGGAGATTCCAGTGCCCTGCTCAGCCAGGAGCAGAGACGTCTCCGGGCCAGAGGCAGGTGCATGGCGAAGCTAATGACGCTTGGGTTTCAGAGCCACCCCTTGCCCGGGCCCCTCCCTAGCCCTGGAAGGCACCATAGCAACGTATCCATTTGGTCATGTGGTCTTGTAAAATGTTCCAAAGTAAGATATGCTTGTGTTTTTTTAAAAGAGGGTTCCAAAATTATATAAGCTGATGTCCTCCACAAAACCTGGACTGACTCCTGCTGGAGGAAGGAATTGGGGGCCAGCCCCGTACGTCGGGGCAGAGGCCTCACCCAAGTCTGGGACTTCCTTGTCACCCGATCTCCCCGCTGTTCCCCACTTTCCCACTCGGGACTCACTCGTGGGACTCTTGAGCTAGAGGTCTCGTTTTCAAACACCAAACTTTCTCATGGAACAACTATCCAACTCAACTGCTTTGCACCTCAGTTTCCCCATCTAGCATATGTGGATACCACCAGCACCTACCTCATAGGAATAGATTAAAAGGGTTAATATGTGTAAAGTGCTTAGAACAATGCTTTACATTATTTTCATTTTATTCATGGGCTCTATCCCTGCCCTCCAGATTTTCTGAAGCAGTCTCAAGAAAATGCCACAGGTACTATAGACAGTGAATCACTGGGCGCCTGGGTGGCTCAGTCGTTAAGTGTCTGCCTTCAGCTCAGGTCATGATCTCGGGGTCCTGGGATCGAGCCCCGCATCCGGCGCCCTGCTCTGCCAGAAGCCTGCTTCTCCCTCTCCCACTCCCCCTGCTTGTGTTCCCTCTCTCGCTGTGTCTCTCTCTGTCAAATAAATAAATAAAATCTGAAAGAAAGAAAGAAAGAAAGAAAGAAAGAAAGAAAGAAAGAAAGAAAGAAAGAAAGAAAGAAAGAAAGAAAAGAAAGAAAGAAAGAAAGAAAGAAAGAAAGAAAGAAAAGGGCACTTTTGAACTGGACTGAATAGGGACACTGCTTATAGTGATAATTCTGAGCTCTAACTCAGAACACTCATTTTACAACAATGATTATGAAACAGAGCAAAGGTCAAAAAAAAAAAAAAAATCCCTCCGGCCTCACACCCAGACCCCACTCACTGCCGGCCCATTGGGTACTGTGTGATCACCAGAGCTGCCTCTGCTCTTAGAGAATTTCAGGGAATCCACGGGGTCGCAGCCTGATTCCCCAGCCCTAGGCCCTCACGCCCCAGGGAAAGAAGCTGCTGGAAAGAGGCAACACACCAAGACCTTTGAAAGCAAGAGATCTCTTTTCACTTTTGCAATGAAGCTCACAGCTCAGGAGTGCATTTATTATAAAAATTGAGCCTTGAGGTGGATTTATCTTAGAAGGGAAGGTCAAGGGGTAAAGGCAGGTGCGTGGGCCACTAGGCAAAAGCATGCCATTTGCCAATTAGGATAGAAAGCTGAAAGCTTGGCCAACCGACATCGTCATTCCACTTCAGCCCCATGCTTCTCTGCGTGTCTTGGGTCATCATGGGTTAGTGCCTTGGTCTGTCCACCAGGAAGACTGGAAATCAACTTTTTCTTGTTGGAGTTACAATACCGTTTCTTAGTTCTCCTACTAGGGGCTGTGGCCCTTTTCAGAATTTCTAGAGCCAGACAGATTGGATGAAGTGAAGCCTGTTTCTTGTGATAAAACAATTGATAAAACCAAATACCAGGGACTTCTCAAAAACTACAGAATCAGGGTAGGATCATGGCTATTTTGACCTCTTCTGTGCCCGATGTCATGCTAAGCGCTTCACAGGATGCAGATGAACTCTCCTGATCCTCTCAACAGGCCTGAGAGATAGGAATTCTAATTAATTCCATTTCACAGCTAACAAAACTGAGGCTTGCCGAGGCAAGATAATGCATGCGCTCTGAGCTGTCTGACTTGACGGGAGTTTCCAACGAGCACGGCAAGGTGAACCTGTCCAACTTTTTATTGCGGGTCATGAAACATATTAAAATATGAAAGCCGGCTAGTTTCAATAACAAAAGACAGAATCCACTTGACAAATAGTGAAGAGAAATTGAAATAACCAAAGCATGGTTTACAGAATCCATTTTTAGAGGATAGGTTATTTTCTCTTTTTATTATTTTTATTATTTTTTTTTTTGTTTTTTAAAGATTTTATTTATTTGAGAGAGAGAGTGAGAGAGAGAGAGCACGAGCGGGGGGAGGGGCAGAGGGAGAGGGAGAAGCAGACTCCCCGCCAAGCAGGGAGCCTGATGCGGGGCTCCATCCCAGGACACCCCCCACCCCCCGAGATCATGACCTGAGCTGAAGGCAGACGCTTAACCGACTGAGCCACCCAGGCGCCCCTATTCTCTCTTTTTAGCCAATTTAAGAATTATTGTTGTAAAAAATCACTGGAACCTAAAGCTCTTGAGTTAAATTTGATTTTATTCAAGTTTCGTTAACCTTCCTTCTAAATGAAGGCTCTTAGCAAAGAACACTGAGCCCCCTGTAAGGCTGCATGCCTGGAGGCTGGGAATATGGGGCCCTGGGGGTAGGCTTAGCCCAAACCGAATACCACAAGCACATGGCCAGATGGTGTTTGGCACCCCTTCGCCTCTCACCAGGGTTGGGTCTCAGAAAAACGCGGAGACCCGGCTGGGCCTTGGTCTATTTTACCCGACTGTGCCTTACCTGGAGAGACATTTCTACCACTCTTTTCAGGGCATGCTCTGCGGTCCCAAACCAAGCCACTTGCCATTCCCTAGTCACACCGCCCGTCCACTTTCAGGTTTCCAGACTGTGTTGTATTATTACTCCCCCCTCCCCAGCCCTTGGCCAGGACACAGTCCTTCAAGACCCAGCTGAGATCACAAGTCCTCCTCCTCGAGCCTTGCCCAGACTCCCCGCCCAGGTTCTCTGCCCTTGTCTTCTTTGAACTGCTCAAGTAGTCTATTTATATCAGCTCCAGGAGCACAGTGATTTTGTCTGTTCTATTCATGGTTGTAGCCCCTGTGCCTAGAGCAGTGCCTGCCACATAGTAGGTATTCAAGAAATCATCGTCAAGTGATTGCATTATAATGTTTATTTCATGGTATGGTAGCCACGTGCTTCCTTGTCTGTTCCATTAGGGGCTCTGTCTTGCTCCTCTTTACGTTCCTAACACCAAGCACAGACCCTAACGCATAGTGAATGTCCACTGGAGAGAGAAATGAGTGAACGAAGGAAAGAAGGAAG